TCTTTCTACAAACAATTCGATTTATATATTGGGATATATAAGAAGTAATAAAATACATTGCATCGGTTCATAAGCCTATTGCCATAATGAAGTAGCATATCCATCCTCCTCCATAGGAATCTCATAACAAAAGTGTGAGTAATCCTCCAAAGCTACAAACTCAATCATATTTTCCATCTTGTCTGCAAAATTTGCGATAAAATAGCCTGTAGACGAATAATCCATCTCCGCCCCAATCCAATCAAAATCATCAAGATTGTGATCAAATGTCGATGAACAACTTTCCGGTTGTTCTACATTGAAAATTTGATAATCCTCATTATAATATTCATCCGATTTATACATTTCTAAACACGAACCATGATTTGCAATCTCTTGTCCAAGGGACTTAACCGTGATCCTCAACATTTCACCATCTCCATACTCCACTTGCGCCGAGTCCTCAAGTAAGGACATGACAAGTGACGTGTCAATGCTTGAGAAGTCGACATCAACATTCAAGTCATCAAAACTTTGATCCAAAAAACAACTTTCGGCCATGCTCTTTTTTTTTCTTAAAATGAATTCAATCTAAAAGATTGAGATTTGGAGAAAGAAAAAATAGTAGAAAGTATGAAGATAAGAGAACTACTAATTACTAAGTGTCTCTCATGAAGGGTGTTCTATTTATAGGCTAGTAACCATGTGCAATCATTTTACTTCCCTTTTAAGTTTGTGTTTTTTAAATTTCTGATTTTATGGCATTGCCATGTGAACAGCTAACTTTTGGGATCCTACCATTCATGTACTTGTTCAACAACAATTAATTTATTGGTCTTGGGATGATTATACAATATCTCAATTATATTGTCAAAGGTTTCAATTATTAGGTCCAAATTGGAGTTATTATTTGTTAATCATGTCGTGTAATAACCCTACACGATGCTGAATTAGTGCTGATACTCGAGGCTGTGCCTCGGTGGCTGTTCAAAGAATACAAATTATCAGAATGGTCTTGGGATGATTATACAATATCTCAATTCACGTGTTTTACACAAATTGAACCGCTGATTCCGAATCAGAATTAGAATCGGAACCGAAACCGGCAGTTTGACGAGTTTAAAAATTGAATTTTTATTTTTAATTTGAACTTTTGATTAATTTTTTTTTAATTTGCAGGTTTAGCCCGGAACCGGTGAGCCAGTTCTGAACCGTGAACTGCCGATTCAGTGAAACGACTGAATATATATTGGGGATGGTTCCGGTTCCCATAAAATGCGAATCTGAACTGACTGTTCCGATACAGAATACCAACACTTTGTCACCTCTAGGTGCACATGAATCACCAAGAAATTAGACTTTAGGAGATAGGATTAAATGTTGATTTGTTTATCATGATATATAAATAGTAACGGTGTTGTTAGCATACTTAATCGTTAATCAATCGTTAAGAGATGTGCATATTTTCACACTAAATTGTCATATTATAAAAAAATAAATAAAAATATAATATTTCACATTATAAGCATATATATTTTTTTTAAAAGTATGATGGTACCTACCGCCTTAACCAATAGGCTGACTCGTAATAGAATTTGTATGCATTTATTATGACATGTATGAATTTTAGTTGCATAGGAATAATAAAACAAATTACTAATTGAATAGAAAAAGGATTTCCATTGTCATTCATAAGCTAATCCATCAATTTCATACTTAAATGTCACACAAGAAGTTCACATAATATTAGGATCAAATTATTATTTAACTACTCATCATTGATAAATTAGCTCCAACTTGATGGACATGATTATAAGGTCTCTCTAACAATTAAGTCACATAATGACATTTGTCTCATTCCATAATGAACCATAATCTTGCTCTTCACTAGAAATAGGAGCATAGTTCTTAACACAACCAAATTCATCCCAACCACCACTAGGTGGAGTAGTCTCCACATCCACCCAACAAAGATCATCAAAATCATTGGGTTGCATCGAGTGATCTTGACCGTTCGGCTCATCAGTCGATGATTGATAATCCATCAGATAATTAGCCTCCCACGTCATCTTATCAAACTCGTAACAATCATTCGAATTGATTTCATCCTCAAGTGACCGAATCACCTTTTCCAGTCTTTCATCATCATCACAATCATCAGTTTGTGTCTCGTCGAGCAGCGACATGAGAAGATTGTGATTGCTCTGCGAGAACTCAGAATCGTTCGAGCCATGATCACAACCATCTGCGTATCCCCAACTTTCGACTACCGTCGAGGCCATTATATTAAAGAAATTAAAGTAAAAATTAGTTTCTGCAAATCCCTCCTATCCCTCAAACAAAGTACAAAAAGGGTTTTTGAGAGGAAAATTACTAAACTTTGATATGCTTTGAGAGAACAATTGGGGTGTGGAAAACCCCCAATGCAAAAGAATCCCTTATATAGGCAAATTAATACTTCGAGAAAGTAACCAATGAATGAATGGATTGTGTGGCACAATTTGCTCAAATATAAATCCACCAATGAAAATCAATGCAAATTAGTTTACGGATTGCATTAGACAGCCAATCATGTGACCTAATATTTAAAAAAAGGGGACCACTTAGCACGAAGAAAGGCTTAAAAATTAGATGAAATGTCTTTGTCTACCACCAAGTGAGGCACCCATTAGTATTTAAGAAAAGTTTGTTTATTCATGTATGGTCGGTCTAAAGAAATTATTTGGAAAATGTCGTGTCAAGTTACAAGGACAGATAGTATCTTGAGGATTGTGTTTAATCGAATAGATTCCAAGTTAAGTGAACAATAAACTTATTCCATCAACAAAAAAAGATTAAAGAAAAAAGAAAAACTCTTGTTGGACTTGAACGTCCGTGACCTATAAAAATAATAATAATAATACTTTCTTTAGAAAATATAATTGTCTATTTGTCTTTTAGTCGCTTGGAGTAATAAAAGTACTAAAATTATCAACTAAGGTTGGTATTAGACAATTAAGGGTTATACTTTTTCACCATGTCAACATACTTTTAAATTGGAATGAATTTATACTTTAAAAATAATATACTCATTCTATTTTTTTTTAGATGTTGTTTTAATTTAAAATTTCTAAATTACAATTTTAATGTGTTGTGTAAGAATCTTATATTTTAATCTTATTAAATTTAGTTTTTCAATTATTAATGGGTGGTTTTTAAAAATAATGATAAGAGATAAAGTTTGTTAAATAGAATAAAGTTGTAAGAATGAATATAATATTTCCAATGACAACTAATTTGCAATAAATTTTATATCCTACAACGACATCTAAAAAGAAACAGAGGGAGTATATACAAGTATAATATTTTGCATCATAATAAATATGTATGAGTTTTTGTTAAAAAGATATGACCGGTAGACCTATCGAATAATTTTATTATATATATATATATATATATATATATATATATATATATA